TGTCTCATTTGACACCATTTACTTGAATTGATATAAAGGATAAGCAACAGATCGTTGACGACACTATTCGTACGCTTCTCAACACATTGACTGTCAATGATTTCATGACATTAGGCCATACGGCCGATGACTTCTTAGTTCCCGATTATTTTCGATGCGCTTCCGATGCCTTTCATGTCGACCAAAAATGCAGGTATTTATTAGTTGTAAAGTTTATAAGTTGCAAATTATAGATTTTTACATCATATAATCATCATATGATTCATATGACGTTATATATGAGCTTAACATACAATTAATATTAAATTGACAAAAGGTAACTTACAGTTATAATAGTTGTCATAATATCGTATAATATCGTTATATGGTAGATAGCGAACAGATTTAACAGATTTATATTACGGTCAAGTGTTACATAAAAGTTCTATATGTCATATGACGTAACGTAAAGTGTCAATAGGTATGACATGACACTGACTTACAACCCTAATGACTTTGTATGATAATTAAATGATTAATTAATACCTAATTAGTTAATATAGTAGTTAAAATATTTTAATAATAATTTAAAATATATTTGATAGAAAATATGCAGATATTCTGACAACTGGTCAAGAAGTGGGTGAGTATTATACAGTATACTATATGTAGGATAAGAATATTGTGCAAACATTCAATGCAATTATTGATTGATAAATTTCAGGCAACTGTTGGACACTATTTCATAAATCGACATCAAATATATTGAAAGACATTGCAATACAGTCGGGTCTCTCGCAGTCGCCGGTCATTAGAGGTAATGGAGAAGCTGTGGATCTGGAACTCGCGGACCAACCCTTCCATCCAAACGAGATCTTAAGGATAAAGATTAACTTCAGTGCCGCTGAATACACGACACTTAACGACGAAGTGTTCGGTCACTTCATTGTTCACGACGACAATATACTGCCGCCCATTAGAGAGAAAAACTTTTATATCTATCCGGGATTTTATTACGAGTTCTTCATTCTTAGACAGTCAGACATTCTTCTGCCCAAACCCTATGCGACCGATTGTGTGGACTATTTCTCACTACCAGTTAACGCGAGTCATAGCGATTCCAATGAATACCTCAATCATCCGCTCTCTAAAGAGAATTGTATTATTGGATGTATGGCTGAGAATACAATCGAGAAATGCAAGTGTTGGCCACCAGAACTACCATTCCTCAAAGGCTCCGATCCGGAGGCGCCCGAGAATAAGGTGAAGTGGTGTGACTGGAATAGCGGGCCTCAGATTAGTGCCGACCGTTTAGCTGAGAAGAGTGCAAACGAGTCGTGGTTTAAATTTTGTTTCACTGAACACGAGAAGCAATGCACCGAAAAGTGCAAATTGGACTGTCAGTCAGTATTGCATTTTACTATTGAAGCTATTATTTAACAATTGTTGTCAATTAAATAATACATCAATTCATTTATATATCGTATTATTTTTATGTCAATGTTTTATATGTTTAAACATAAGAAAACTTTTGCCAACATTTGTTGATATTTATATTCAAAGACAGTTAGAATCTATTATTTTCTATATAAACTTTATGTAAATTTTTAACCACAATTCTGTATAAAATAATGTGGTTTAGAGAATCGTTCTCGTTTAGAGAATACTTTAACATGAGGTTCTTCACTCTATGGGGATTTAATATGTGTTTACAGCTTAAATTTACAGCTAGTGTTACAGTTTACAGCTTACAGCTTACAGTTTACAGTCTTAAGTTTATACTTTAACATGGATAATGCTAAGAACTAAGTTAATGTGGACAATGTTAACTCTATGGGACTGATATTAAATCTATGGATAAAGCTAATCTATTTTTTAGCATCACCCGAATTGTGGTTAACATTTATAATAACATCGCTGTGTGTGAGTTGTTTACAGTTATCTTCCAAATATTAATAGTAACAGTAATATATAAAGTACCATAATTTTATTAAATTGACTAGTTTTCAAAAAATGTTGGCATACGAATAAATATATTTTTTTAAAGAGATTTGCCTAAAATATTAACACATTATTTGGTTAATAACTTGCTAGTATGGACAGGTATACGATTCTTCAACAGAAAAGGGATTGGCCCGCAAAGGAGCGTATCGTAAGTTCACATACAATATTGTATTTCATACATAAATATTTTATAAACACTCGATGTGTACTATAATCAACTAGTAAGAATTTAGTTAATTATAATAAGTTTATAATTAATACACTATTTGTTATTAACGCTCTGATACCAAAATATGCGCAAATGCTATGTATGTAAGCATACAATTTTGAACATATTTTGATACAGTAAGTTATGAGACGGTTATAATAAATGGGAATATAATTAAGTGATTGAATTGATAGGAACACAGCAAACACGCCGACACTCTTCTCGACAATCATAAGTGTTGTGCAACCGTTTCGGTCCGGTATTGGAGTGCAGAACACAATATCAATAAATATGAGCCCAAATACGAGGTGTTTATTATGATCTCAAGAATATGATTATAAGTCTAATGAGTCTAATGAGTGATCCTTTGATTATTAGATATCCGAGTTTATAGCATATATGGGCGGACTGTTGAGTATGTGGTTAGGCTTTTCTTTGGTCAGGACTTATGATGTCATGGAATTCGTGTCGATTCGGTTGTGTGAGAGAAGGGCTGAAAACAAGCGACAGTCAAGGCTTATGGAATCCAAACTTTCCAATTATGACACCAAATATCATTCAAATCCCACTAAAACTAAGCGAAGAGTTCACCACAATATTGATAAATGGCATCAAATTAAACCTAAAGTTTCAAATCTATTGACACTAAATGCAGTCAATAATGATTACAAACTCGATAAGTTGGCGGTTCCCAAACAAACAACTATTTAATTAATTTTGTCAATTCAGTTGTCAAACAAATTCATAAATTGCAACATAAAGTCAACGATAAATGAATGGTCGAAATGGGTTTGCAATTCTTTTGGTTAGTGTTATGGATAAGAGAGTGAATTTAATAATTAATATAAATCTAATCAAATTTTTGTGGAGTTAAATGTGTAGAGAATTTGTAATTAAAATCATTTTAAAAATTAAATATATTTGATCATGTATAATTTAAATTTGTATAGAAAATTAACTAATAAATGATTAAACTTTTTACTGCTAATAGCAAATGTCCTTAGATTATTATAAAAATCGGTATAAAAACCATCATGATTATGAATCAAACAATTAGTTATAATAATTATTATTAATTATGATAATCAGACGTACAACTGATTTGCAATTTAGAAATGGACTATTATATACTGTATGTGGTGTACAGACGAGACTACAACAAACTATTGGTGCGAAGTGTTGTACAAACTCTTCGCTCTTTTTAGTTTTCTTCAGTCAATTCTTCTAAATTCTTGAACATTCTGTTATGTATTGTGAGAATATTTGACATCAAAAGTATATTATAAAATTCGATATGACTAAATAATAATAAACTTAATAATGTCTTACGGTATTAGTATTTAAATATATTATTTTTTGGTAATAATTGTTAATCTAATTTAAATAGCGTACAGTAAAGTATATATTGTAGACATCAAGATTCCTTAACATCTCTATTACATGCCTATAACATCCCTATCAATATTGTCATAGACTTGCTTTACATGTTATGAATTGCCATTTGTGTCAAACGAGAAGCAAGTGTTTCATTATATCATATATCATATGATTGTTACAAACAATTACTGTCAATGAATCCAAGCATATAATTATCGTCAATAACTCGTTCACGTCTTCGCCAATATGTCTGAAGCGACCAATTCTTCGGGTAATTAATTACATATGAATACAATTTAATTGAATCACTTATAGTTGTCGTCAATGAATCCAATGATCCACTCATCCAATGGATAACAATTGAAACAAAATGTAAATTTCAATAATAATGAAATTGTAATTTTATATATGATATGTCGGGTCGACAGCGAAGCCGTCCGACGATAACCACTCATTGAGTGACTCAACCGATGGATCAAAAGAGAGCGGCACTCAAAAAGACGATTCAATCAGTCGTTAGTATTTTAATTGATTTGAATTGATGTCAACTAATATTCAATGTATTTATTAGTGGAAAAATTAACCAAAATATTTGCCACTAATTTTGGACTCAATGAAAGTGATGGCAAAGCAGTGACTAATGTTGAGAAAGTGTTGGACGAGTTGAGTGTGGATGGGATCGTGCGGTACATGAATAGTGGCCAATGCGAGCACATTGTAGTGATGGTCGGCGCCGGACTCTCAACCGGTAAATCAATTGTCAATTTTATTGATCAACAAATTGTGTTGAATCCAAATATTTGCATAATTATGTGAAAAGCGGCCGGAATTCCAGACTTTCGGAGCCCTGGAAGCGGTCTTTACGACAATCTATCGAAATACAAGTTGCCGTCACCCGAATGTATGTTTGATATCAACTTCTTTCGGGTAATTTGATGATTACATTGATTGTGTGGCCATTAATTGGTATACAAATAACAATTGAATACTGATTAACAGGAAAATCCGGAGCCTTTCTTCGATTTGGCGAAACAGTTATTTCCGGGAAGTTTTAATCCGACGACAAGTCATCGATTCCTTAAACTACTGAATGACAAGAATTTGTTGTTAAGACTCTACACACAGAACATCGACACTCTTGAGCGGATCGCTGGCATTCCCGGCGATAAGTTGGTCGAAGCTCACGGAACCTTTCATACATCACATTGTATTGATTGCAAACAACAATATAGTCTCCAATGGATGAAAGGTTGCCCAACGCTATACTTTATGATACAGTGATTAACATTTGTAATATATTTTATATACAGAGAGAATATTTAGCGAATCTCTGGTTCCGAAGTGCGAAAAATGTAAGGCAACCGTCAAACCAGACATTGTCTTCTTTGGCGAACGACTTCCGCATCGGTTCTTCGCGTTAGCCGAAGACGACTTCGATAAATGCGATTTATTGATAATAATTGGGACATCACTTACTGTGCAGCCATTTGCCGGACTCGTAGACACAGTCAGTCCTAAGACTCCGCGACTACTAATAAATAAGACAAAATGCGGTCAAAGTTCACAATTAGCCAAACTTTTAGGGATGGGATCCGGTCTTGACTTTGACTCTGCGAACGCATACCGCGATGTTCTGCTTCTCGAAGACTGTGATAAAGGCTGCGAACAATTGGCAGAAGCTTTGGGTTGGGCTCAAGAACTCAAACAAATGACTGCTCCCGAAGGCAGGAAAGAGTGGTTATGAGGAGTTATTTACCATTTTATTATTAATTGCTTTTATTTCGGCGTATTATTCAATTTAGGCCAATATTTGTATCGTTTATTATTAACAAAGAGTTTGATTATTAATCGTTAAATTTATTTTAAAAAACAAATCTTAATAAAAAAAGTGTTAAATAAATAATTGATGTAAAAAATAATTTGTCAATCATTGATGAAAATTCTTGAGGAGACGTCTTCTAAGAGCCAATCGATTGAAGACAAGAGATTGAGTCCGGAATAAGCACTGCAGCCAACAATCATCCAGTGATGGGTAGTAATTGAGTCCAATTGCAACAAATGCCTGATTGTCTCGCAACTGACAGCACCGGACAGATCCTGTTTGTTGGCCAACACGAGTAGAGTTGCGCCCAAAAGGCGCTCCTCTTTCAAGAGGTTCTGGAGTTCGTGTTTGGAGTCATTGATGCGAAACGTGTCGGAACTGTCGACAACAAAGATGAGGCCATCGGTGCTCTCGAAGTAATTGCGCCAAAAGGCGCGCAAACTCTTCTGTCCGCCGACGTCCCACACGTTCAGCTTTAGGCTATCAAACAATCAATGAGTCCATCAGACAATCAATGCCACAATCAATGGTCACTCACTTGTTGTGTTCAAACGTAGAGATAGTGAATCCAAGAGTGGGTGATATTGTGTGCACGTCTTCGCCATTGAGACGCTTCAAAAGTGTGGTTTTGCCCGAATTGTCGAGACCTCTGAACCACACAAACAGTCAAACAGTTAATACAGTTATTGTATGAATGGATCAAATGAATGGACAATCAATGCATACAAAACCAAAACTCGTATTTCTTTCTCCTTTTGTTTGATTTTTGTGATAATTTTCAATAAACCCATTGTTTTCTCACTTTCTATACATTTCTTAACATTAAATCAATTTTATTGACAAAAAACTCAACAAATATTTCACAATTTGTTTTGATTTGTTGTCTCAATTGGAGTCACTCTTAAACTACGTTACGATTTAATTTTGTAAAATTAATTTCATTATAAATATTAGCGTAAAATTAAACGCTATTTTATAAATTATAACTAAAAACACAATTTAATTAAAACAAATGAAAGTTAATTTATAAAAATAAATGTCATTTTATTGATAGAAAATAATGTTTATTAGATATTTGTGTTAAAAAGTGTGCGAAAATAATGTGTAACGGAATATATGAATGGATGACTATATTTGAAACATGTTTGCTATTATTGGCCGCCATTTGTCTCATAAGAAATGAAGTCAAATGAAGATTTGAAACAATTAGACAACAAATCAGTGGCCGAAACAATGGTATTGTCATCACTTCCAACACATCCAACGATCCATTTGT